AACAGGGAGTGAATTGAGTTTTATAAAAATTTACTAAATAATAATTAAATACAAAAGATAAGTTTAGAGAGATATCACCGAACACCAAGAAAAAAAAAGAAAAGCTTGCATAGATATTTATCCTGATTTAGCTCCAATCACTTGAGCTTACGTTCAATTCTCAAGTTTGCTTGAGATTTCTCCACTAATTTTACCAAGATTAATCCGGACTCTTGGTAACTATAGTACAATCCTAGGTTTAAACTAAAGTCTAAATTACTCCTCCTTACAAAGGTAATGATAAAATCCACTTAAACTGCCCAAGTTTAAGTTTCTCTGTGATGAGTCAGAAAAATAGAGGCAAATAGAGTATGTTCAAAGATGAACAACTATTATTAAATACTCTCACTTGGAGTTGATATATAATCAATAAAGCTCACTCGTAATACATATAAACTCAAAAATTTGGTAAACAATAAATATGAATGTCTCGAGTTTGTTCATGTTCATTCATCTATTTACCGTCTTCATAAATGCTTGTATTTATAGTTGGAGTTCGTAAAAGATTCATTATACTCATGGATATAGCCATTAGAGTCATTGTCTTTTTTTCTTTGAGTTGTTTGAACAATTGTTGAACTGAGGCAATGGAACAATGTTTTTCGACAAAGCTTTCTTTGTTACAGTAAGTAAGAAAAATAATGGCACTTTTCATTAAATGTTTTGACAAAGTAGGTAAAAGATTATTTCGGTAGAACAAAGCTATTTGAGAATAAGTAACTTTTGAATAAACTCAAGCTATGTTTATAAGAACCCTGAAACGTGTTTAGAAAGCTTATAGATAGTTTAGATAACACGCATTACTCTTAAAAGAAGAAAAGAGAATGAATCACGAGAGCTTCAATTAACCCCTATTTTACTTGCATGAAATAGAGCACAACACGTTAGGCTTATTTCAAAATAATAACATTTATTTTGAAATAGAGTAGAAGCTAATATGTAAGAAGGATTAGACATATTTCGAAGTAAAACTTTTATATCAGAATATAGTTACCTAAGCGTTACTTTGAAAATCATTATTTGAAAATAAGGAGTGCTATTACCAAATAGTCTACTCCTAAATAGACTAGTTTTGAATAGCTTATTCTTGAATAAGAAACTTTAAAAGAATGCTGAGCGAATAAGCTTTGAAAAATATAGGATTATTCTGAAATAAGAACAACTGTTCCTAATTAAGCTATATTTGAATGGACATGAGAGTTGATAATTGGAAAAAAGGAGAATTCACTTAGGAATACGCTATTTTGGAATAAGTAAGCTATTTCAAAATAAAGGCCATTTGAATTGAAAAACGATAAAGGCTCTTAGACTTGAATTATGTATTTTAAATCCACTTGAGACACCTTCCAAGGAATATAAGAGGTCCTTAAGAAATAAAAATTAAGTCAAATACTCAATCTTTAGAGAGAAACACAATATGAATAGGTTTAAAAAAAAGCTTACGTGTTTTTCGGCTATTTGAGAACAAGACACATACTTGAGAATAAGAAAATATATGGCAATAAGATGCAAGATTTAGAAACATAAATCAAAGTTAATCAATTTCCTTACAAGCCATTATTTCTTGATTATTAAAGCTATTAAACACAAACTTATCTTAGTTTATAATCATCAAAATTAAGGTTCAACACTACAACAATTATCTTGTATTGCAAAATGGGCATAACTATCAACCCTATTTTGATCTCATTCATGAAGTTTGTTTGCTTTTTATATAAAGATTGGTGTATGTCTATAGAGTTTATGCAAAGGGAAGCAAATTTTTATGCTCATTATTTAACAAGCAATATTTCGAACAGCAGTGTTTTCAAAATTGAATTGATCAAGGCGATCAATTGGTTAAATTGTCACCTAGGCATGAAGATGATTCAATTTAACTTATTGAACCCTTTGGAGAGCTGACCTATTTTGAATCGCTTTGAACTAAGCAGTAATGATTAAAAAATCGGATTGAACCAAATGATTGGATCAGTCAGGCTAATAGCTTAGTTAAGCCTAAAAATTTTTTGGAGAGTCGGGCTGGATTAGGCCGCTTTAGATTGGAGGTTGAATCGAGAACCAGGATCAAACTAGTAACTGGATCCGATTTTCAAAAATCAGATTGTTAAAAAAAATGCACTTTTTCTTTTTTTATCAATTTTTTAGAAAATGACTAATTTTTTTAATTATTTGATGTTATGTTACATTATGTGGCGTGTTAGATCATAACAAACTTAAAATACTTGATTTTATTTTTAAGTTAAGTAACAATTTCATATTATTTCTTATATTTATATAATTATATACATATATAATTTTTTAATTTAATGATTGCGTCATTGGTTCGATTATTGGTCTAACTTGATTGGACTATACGAACTGTGAATCACTAACCTTTTTGATTTGATATCGAATCCAGTTTTGAAAACATTACAAGGCAATTTTGAGTGAGCTAGAGTTAGATAGGAACTTAGAGTTGGAGCGGGTTGAAAGCAGTTTTAATAGTCGTCTGAAATCATCTTCTGACTCCTAAAAACCATTCTTTGACATCATTTGAGATTATTTTTTGTATTTTCCTTTCTTCCCTCAAGCTTCGATTGATCATTTCAACACTACTCCACTCTTCCCATCTGCAACTCGCTACTCTTCTAGTCCACTACTCTTTGTGTGACTACAACTTGCTGTGATGCCGTCTTGGTTTTTCATTACTCTAACCTTGATTTATAATCTTTTCTCTAATCTTTATTGTCACCCTTCATTTATGGGAACAATTAACTAAAGCGAAGAAAGAAAGTTCAAGAGACACAGGCAAGAGACAGAACCAGTGGAGGGAGGACAATAAAGCCTTAAGAGTGAATAAAGTCAAAAACGAGAGGCCAGAAAGGAAGGTCTTTGGAGTCAAGAGTGAAGGTAAAAGAAGTATCTGTTTGAATTTCAATTGAATATAATAAATTATAAAAATAATTAATTAAATGATAGATTTTAATTTTAATTGATTATATTATAATATAATTAGTTTGGATATTATTTTTTTAAAATAATTTTAAAAAAATTAAAAATATTTGGATAATTTATTCAGAATCAATTTTAGTTGTGTAAATTATCATAAAAAAACATTGCCTTTCAAAATTAAATTATTGATAAATTTGTATCTAATATTTAAAAAGTAAAATATATTATTTAAATTATATATATGATTAATTATAAAAATTTGAATTATATTAATATTAACAATTTTGATTTATATAAATAAATAACTCAATATATCTTAGTTCAAATAAATTTAATAAAAGAGAAAGATTTAAATCTTAATATCAAATATCAATTTTACAATAACTAATGAAGATAATAATGTACAAATTAATCTCTAATGACATCATGAACATAAGTTATATCTAATAAAAATGTTAAGCATTGCTTAGAAATTTTGGCAACATAAAAAATTTAACAATGTAACAAATGACTCAAAATCTCTCTCTCTCTTTGAACTTTTATAATAATCTTTGTAATGACCCTCAATTTTAAATTAAATTAAATTAATCTTTTTCTACCAACTATTATTTTATTTAAATTAGTTTTATAGCAAGTGCTAAGTGAAGGGTGATGGTTAGCAGGAACTTATTCTAATAATTTTTTTGAGTATCTAAAGTTTGAATTTTATTAAAAAAAAAAGAAAAGAGAGTTTAATTTTATTTTTATTAAATTTTGTGCCTTTCTTATAATTTTTTTTTGAAATTTTTTTTATAATTTTCCCCATATGCCTTTGTGATTTGAACGCATAAGCTGCTTGTGATAGCTTTGCCCAAAAAAAAATAATTTTTTTTCGAAAAATTGACATTTGAATAATTGATTGTAAAATTGATTTTTCGCCTCAAAAAATTGATTAAATGAGCTATCCAAACATGCAAGAAGTGTATCTCATACGCTTTGGTGAAAGAAATCCCACAATTAATAAATTATATTAATAGTAATTAATTCTATTGAAAAATATTATGGTAGTTATCAGTTTTGGGATTTCATCTTTTATAATAAATTAATTCATAAGCCTTCAAGATAGAGGATTAAGTTAAGTTAATTGTGGGATTTAATTTCATCTATCCTATAATTGTAGCAAAAAAATTTGATATTATGATTTGATTATTATTTTTAAAATAAAAATCACTACAAAAAATTTAAAGTATGAGCAATAAATCATCTTCTCATTCAACAACAACAACATTGACCTCGTCTGATTTCTATTCTGCATTGAAATGGATCATATAGGATTTTGGTCCACCAGGCTTTGTTTGATTTAATCATAGTCATATAGCATTATAATTATTTTTAAAAGAAAAAAGACTAACATTGTTAAATTTAAAAATGATTCAAAAGTGATAACAATTAACTTTATTTATAGGATAAGAAATGAATAAAAATGTGCATAGTTTGAATTGATTTTAAAAAATAAATTAAATGTATAAAGTTATCTAAGTTTTTCCATATTTTCAATTTGAATGTTTTATAATTAAAAATCACTTCATAATAAGAAGATAATGATCTAACAAATAAAGTAAATGCCATCTTTTCTTTTGCCTGTTTCTTTTCCCTACAAAAATATTTTACAAGTCTGTCCATTATGTTAAAATAAATATAGCCACTATAGTATTTTTTTTTTTTTCCACTTTAGTATGTCAAAATAAATAAGATATAGATAGATGCACGATTTTGGCGGCTAAAAAAAAAAATTAGAGACAGATGTAACTTATTTAGAAGGATATTACCTAAATTTTGTTTATCTCATTTGTTATAGGACGACTAGGGATTTACAGAAATAGAAGGGGTTGAATTAGTAAATTCATACAAACCAGGAATATACCTCCAAATAAACCGAAAGAACAATCTTCCGCATCCAATTCAGACCAATTATGAAACAAAACGGATAAAGCCCAGGAATCTCTCTCTTCGTCAGCAATTTTTCATCTACATGTGTATAAAAGGTCTGAGTTTTGTTCTCTCTTAAACAATCAACATTATTTCTCGACGGATAGTTAATATCTCGCCTTCGTCTTTAGATTCTAGTGAGTTTGTTGTTTATCCTTTGATCTATTCCTCAATTATATTATTTAGTTTTCAAGGAAGCCACATTTTAGAGTTCAAACACGCCGTCTCCATCAAAGACCAAATAAACGTGCGTGCCCTTTGATCCATTCTAAATAAAATCTTCCTTCAGAAAGATCATAGCTTTGTTATTTATAGCCAAAGATTCTTCTGGGTATTTGTGGGTTTTTTTTTCTCTTTTGATTTTGGTGATTTCTGACGAGTTACAATGGCTGCTTCCGTTGCTGGAGTTATTGGTAGTAACAGGTCATGTTCTTCCTGGATTCAATTTAAAAACAGTGAAAAGAAGCAGAAGCGATTGAACAGAGTTAAGATTTCTTGTTCTTCCTCTTCTTCTGTGATGGATCCTTATAAGACCTTAAGAATCCAGCCTGGTGCCTCTGAATCTGAGGTTAAGAAAGCTTTTAGACAGCTTGCCTTGCAGGTTTGATTCTCAATCTCAGTGCCATAATTGTTATCCAGAAGTTTAGGTTGTTGTATGCACGCATGATGTTTGATATTTGGCTTCCAATTTGATTTTTCGTTCTTGGGTTTACACTTTAAAGTTATTCGTCTCACCAATGTCTAGGGTTTGGTTATATTGGGATTTCTTTTTTCCAATGGAAAATACTGATTGGTTGTTTTTTTTTTTTTTTAAAAAAATTATGCATCAGTTCCATCCAGATGTATGCAGAGGAAGCAATTGTGGTGTACAGTTTCACGAAATCAATGAGGCTTATGATGTGAGTTATCTTAATCCCTTCTCTCTAGAATTTTCATAGTTCTGTAGGTGAATTGAATATTGGTTAATCATTTTCTCTGCACTCCATTGAAATTGAAAGAGAGTGAGAGAGAGAGAGAACTATTGCTTCTGAAGGAGCTCCTTATCCAACTCAATGGCTGTTCTGTGATTGTCATATTTTTGTTTTTGTAGCGAATTGAATATTTAATATTGCATCAGTGGCACGTATGATTCATTACTCATTGCAGAACCATAAGAGTGAAGATAAGATCAGTCATTTGATGTGTATATATACTTCCTTTGGTCTTAATTATATATTTAGATTTGTTAAAAATACATAAATTTCCAATTTTACCCATTTTTGGGATTATTACTATAATAAATTGATGTATAGGAATTCAAAGGATGCCAATAACTTATTGCAATTAAGGAGGTTTAAGCACTACAATTTTGCCCTATAATTATGCTTGTCTTTAAAATTTTGCCCCATAATTAAGACCAGAGAGAGTATATAAATGTATATATATATAATTACTAGACATCCGTCTTGCTTTGACAAATTTGCGGTTTTATGTTTATGTGAAAAATGAAGCTGCTGAAGATTGAAGAAGTGAATAGGAGTTAATTGTTGAACAAATTTGCAGTTGATTGTTGGAACTAATGTTGAAAGAGAACAGTAATGGAATGGTTAAGTGAATGAAACTTATCTCATCCAAGGCTTACACATATCTGCCATACATACATATATATATATATGTATGATTTGGTCATGTTATTGTTGGTTAGTTGAATTTGAATGAAAGCAACAACTTATGTTGAAAACGTATGGAAGCAGATAGTGATGGAGAATTTGAGAGGAGGAGCAAATGGAAGTGAAATGTATGGTGATGATGAAGATGGAGAGAATGATGAATCAATGAGAGGAATGAACGATCCTGATTGGGACTTGTGGGAAGAGTGGATGGGATGGGAAGGAGCTGGAATCCGGGACTACTCATCTCATATTAATCCCTACATTTGATCATTTTCTCGTCGCTTTGATGGCTCTCAAACTTCACAAGCCATGTTAATCCTCAACCAATTCAAGTTGGGGTGAGATGTATCTAGTGGTTGATGTCCTCACTAATTCAAGTCAAATTGGATCCACCAGGTCAGATCTATTTGGTGGTTGGTGTTCTTACTAATTCAAATGTTGATCAGATAAGATCATATGTATATGGTGGTTGGTGTGATTCCTAATTCAAAGTTGAATCAATGTGTATGGAGTGGTTGGTGTTTGTATATAGTGTCGGTAGGTCGAAGGTCACTCTCATCTGATCAATAATTAGAGCGGAGTGAGCAAGTGACTTTTTGTGTATATATATATGAATTATGAATACATTTCAAAAGGGCAAGTCAATACTTTCATTTTCTTCATTTGGTTATGTTTTCCCATCAGCTAGGCTAGGTGCTATATCATGTCATATATATATATATATATATATATTATTCTTGTAAATTATTGAAACTTGAGAGAGTGACAAGTGAAGTTGACATGACCTATGAATTATAATTATTACAGACAAGGGCTGTAAAATTATTAGAAATTTCAGAAAGTGACATGAATTCGTGCCCCACATGCTTTTCTGATCCTTTCTTAACTCTTAATGGCCAGCTGGGGCATAATGGTTTTCAATGTGTAAATGGTCTGAATAGTAGTGAAGAAGAAATGTAGCTGCCCCAACTTTGAGGAGCATCCACGTGTCACGAATGTACTTGCTAAACAAAAGCCTAAATAGGATTTTGATGGTGTATCTGATCCGAGGTCCTAGCAGTTCCAGCAAACGCTGGGAATGATGCCACTTCATGGTCCACCATCCTGTCACAGGGACACCATGCTGCTTCACTGCGTTCAATTGCGTACACATAGCACTGTATCTGTTATCCATATTTTCAGCCCCGGCTGTGATAATCTGGAACAAGGCCAGTAATTTCTGGGCGCTGATCCCAAAATCTTCATCTGCTACAATAATGTTCTTTGATTTAAGCATTTGGATGTCTTGAACAGAACAGACTAGGCGTTTGAGAAAATACGCGTAGGAGTTGAACTTGTAGCTGATTCCTGTTAATCCGAGTTGCTCCCAAGCAATGAAATTCCTCCACTTCTCTTCCTTTCCTTCTTTTATGCACAGCGTCGGGATTATCAGCTTTTGATCCCTTTGCTTAAAATCTATATAAAAACCGAAACTCTCCACAAATTCCCTCAGTGCAGAAGCCACAATTCCTGTTTTGTTGTCTGCAATATGAGCGAGATTTTGAAGGTGAATTACTAATTAAGTGATAATTCAATAGTAATGAAGATAAATTACTTCAACATTACTGGTAGAAGCGTTTATAATGGTTTGCGCAGTGGAATGAATTTCGAGTCCCACAGCTTGGAGCTCCGTGGCGCAGCGCTTCAGTTCTTGTTTAGCTTTCATGGATGTCACGTCTTTGTCATAGGGATCTGGGGAGCACGAGTGCATGAGATGAAGGAAATGAGAAACACCCTTGGAGAAGCCAGCGCTGTGTCACGGATGATATGAACGATCCGCTGGTTAGCCTCGCACAATATGGGTAAAGGGGGCGACATTGGCATTGGAGGTGTTCTGCCTCAGTCTTCGGACTGAGTGCACAACTGGTCGGGGCTAGTGCTGCCTCCCTGATGAGCCCATGGCAGGGCAAAACCAGTGTGATTCGTATGTGATAAGGCTTGTCCTGAGAATTATGGGGTCCTCCAGGACGCCGCATGGGCGCCGTGTGCTGCATCAGACTCTCAGCCCATGACAGAGTGGTATCAGAGCAGGACATACTTTACTATCGTGTGCGTGTGGGGTTCCACGTTGGCACTGGTCGACCTCGGCACCGCTCCAGAAAGGCCTCCGAGCAGGTGGGTCCAAAAGTGGGGACTCGGACGGGAAGGTTGGCCGTTGTCGACTCCACTCCTGTTGGCTCGCGGGTGCGAGTGGGTCCGACGAGTGCAGGACTCGGGTGGCCACTCAGCAGTAAGCTGATGTGTTTGTGGCAGTACTGTACGTATGATCTTTGGGCGGAGTCTTTCTCCCCTAGCACGAGGGCGTGCTAGATTGGGTGTGGGAGAATGTCACGGATGATATCTCCGTGACCGTGTACAGACCAATGTAATGAACGATCCGCTGGTTAGCCTCGCACAATATGGGTAAAGAGGATGACATTGGCATTGGAGGTGTTCTGCCTCAGTCTTCGGACTGAGTGCACAACTGGTCGGGGGCTAGTGCCGCCTCCCTGATGAGCCCATGGCAGGGCGAAACCAATGTAATTCGTATGTGATAAGGCTTGTCCTGAGGATTATGGGATCCTCCAAGACGCCGTACAGGCGTCGTGTGCTGCACCAGACTCTCAGCCCGTGACAGTTGGCAACCTTGCATTCAAAGTGTGACTCGGCAAGTTTTTCAGGAGAAAGTTCTTTTTCTGTAGCAAAGGGATTTGGTTCTCGAGCAGCGTAAGATCAGTGAGAACACGCAAGATCTTTTTCTTGTCGTCGGTAAAATCCAGAGAAGGATCACTCTGATTGTGACGGAGCGGCGGATCTGTGATGACATTTTCTTGGAGTTTGAGCAGAAGCTCCAAGAGAAAGCAGCCATCAAGTAGCATTATTCTGGCAAGCTCCTCTGCTCCCAATTCCATTGTCTCCCCATCGGCATAGCTGGCTCGAATTATACTGTCAAAGCCTATCAGGAGCTCACAGCAACTTCTAAGGGTCTTGCACTGCAAGTTTCCAGTGGGACGCGAAAGAAGATGGTGCATGTAGCGCCATTTGGTCTCTTCCATGATTTGCAGTTCGCTTTCGGTCCCACTGTGAATGGGTCCCATGGCTACAAGTTGAGGCCTGTAACTCGTAGTTTCTCTGGAACCCTCCAAATACTGCACGTCTTTACGTTGTTTTCATTCGTGAATTGCAGTATCATTTCAATCTTAATGATCCATTCATCGTCCCTCGACCCTGACATTAGGCCTTATACATACGATTTATTAAGTTTATTAGTCAAACCAAATTTTCAAAATGAAATTGAAAGAATGACATGCTGGGTATACTGGGAAATTCATTTCAATGTATAATGAACATGACTACTTTAGTTATACTTTATTGATAAATAAATTTACAAAAAAAAAATTAATTATTTTTTATTTTGTTTTAATCAGTAGTCATTTTTTAATATATAATAATCATTGATAACAAATATGATATTTTGTCAAAAACCAAAATGACACAGGCTGGGGATTGAATAATAATTATTGCATTTCATGATAAGTGATATTTTTTTGGGAGAATGACAATTCCCAAAAGATTGAATTAATGATAATAAAGTTCTTGACAAAAATTTTTAAGAAATGAATTATAAATATCAATTTAAACAGTTACAAACAGAAAATACTGTTATAATATTAGATATATATTTAATATTTAAATACTTATTTATAATTGAAACTTCTTAATGTGTAATTATTTTGATTGATATTTTCAACTTCTTTTTCAAAAAAAAATTTATCAGGAATTTAATTGTTATTAATTCAATATTTTGAGACCTAACTATAATTCTTTCTTTATTTTTTTTTTGGGTCATTATCCCAAATTTAAAATCCATGGTCTATTAATTTGATTTAAAAATGTATCTTTAAGCAATTACTCCTAGTTTGGCTGGAGAGACTAAGGAGGCCATACCCTTCTTTCCAAATTAGGGATTTTAAATATTTAAGCTGTTAATTTTATTATATTTAATATACTTTTCTCCAATTAAATTAAAACAAATGAATTTTAAAATATTAATAATAATTTTTAGGCAATAAATAATATATAATAGATTCATATGTCTTATTTTAATAAGAAAACAAATACTTTAAGTAGACAAGATTAAGGGCATATTTGATCTCTTTTAAAAAAAATAAAAAATTATTTTAGTAAGTATATTGCATTTAAATGTTTTCAAAAGGTTCTCATTTTTTGTTTTTTAAAAAAGATGGAAACAATTTACAATTGTTTTCACTTTTTTATTTTTAAAGCACACTATATTTGACTAATATAAATTATTTTCAATTATGATCAACCATATGCCATTATTTTTTTTATAAGTATCATAGGCTATTATTATTAACCACTAGCAACTATCATTATCCATCATTTTCTAAATTTTAAAATTGTTTTCAAAATTAACATGGTCAAATACATTTTTATTTTGTTTTGTTTTGAAAAAATAGTTTGTAAAAATTGGTTTACAAAATAGTTTTCAAAAATAAAAAAGAAAATATAATTTTTGATCCCTATACTTTGCAAAAGTTTTGATACAAGCCTCTTACTTTTTTTTAATGTTCCAAATTCCTATAGTTTTTGTTATCTACAACATTAATTTTTATATTTTTAGAAGGACTTTGATGTGGTACAAACAGTGTTAAAAATACTAGCATGTGTTAACGCCATTAAGTTTGGAGAGATTTTTATACAGACCTGTTGCTTCAAGTCATCTATATTTTATTTAATAAAATTTCATCTATTCAATCAAATAAAAAAAGTTACGTCGGATAATAAAATGCTGACCTGGAATTAAAAACAAAAACCCTCTGAGTATCAAACGATGAGCAAATCTGGGAGAAGGGCCAAGCCAAAGAAAGTCAACCCAACCGGCAGCGAAGAGGGAAGCAGATGTGGGTGAAGGAGAAAGGGCTTCTGGGCACAGAAGGATTCAGAGCAAAATTCCCATTATTATATAGAAACAGAGGGCCACGTGATATACTTGACTTGATGATAGGAAAAGTTGGAAAAGATAAAAAATAAAAAAAGGACCAAGGGGGACGCGCTTGTTCAGCAAAAGATATAGTTTTTTTATAATGTTTGAACTTTGAAGACCGGAATGGTTAGACCAGTCGATCAGTCATTTAGAGAAAAAAAAATTAATTTGGTTCAATTATTTGGCTTGTTCTGAAAGTTAATCTAAGTTGACTTACTTTGATTTGAGTGGTTATTGAAGATCTAAAGCAAAAATTCAAAACTCAAAGTGGTTGAATCATTTTAAACTGTTTTTAAATATATATATATATATATATAAATATTATTTTTTATTTAATTATTATATTACTGATTCAACCATCAGTCTAACTGGTTGAATCATGAGACCCGTAACTCACTAATATTTTTGATTTATTGTCTGATTTGTTTTTTAAAACATTGGTTTTTTGTTATCCCTCCACAAACATGCTAAATTTCAATTCATTCCCAATGAGGACAACATAGAAGATGTGCAATCTCTTATGGAGACCCTATTTGCAAATGATAAATTTAGCTTTGAATGAGATTGAGATCAAACGGATCTGACCAGAAAAAGCATAGCTTGTGAGTTCGATAAAAAAGGAAATTAAAATTGTTCTTTTTATGCTTCCTGCTCAACAATGTAGAGAAGTCGACATAGAATAAACTATTTTATTTTTTTATGGATGGAACATAATAGAGGATTTAAACTATCTAAAATAAATAAATAATATTTTATTATCTCAATTGAAAAAATATGAGAAAATTACCTTCTATCTTCATCTAATGGATTGTATTTGATTTTTTTTTTTTGCTAAAGTTTTTTTTTTGGCTGAAGTTAGTATTTGTTTATGATATGATAATGGTTACTGTCTTTTTTTTTTTTTTTACTGAATAATGGTTACTGTCATTTGTTCTTTCTTTTTATATCTAATTATTTTTCCCCACTGAGCTTGAGTCTTGAGGCTGCCACTGCACATAAAGTCATAACCTATCTTTAGAGTGACAATCAACACAAAAAGTCATCCCAAAAACCATTTAAGTCACATCCCATGTATAAAACATGTACCACAAAACATCTCATTTCCATAACTACAAGAAGTTGACATTGGAAATCAAGGTTGATTGTTCTCTGGAGGAGTTGCATTAATGGACTTAGAATGCCTCAACTTCATTGCAGGTTGCTTATTGAGATCCTTGCAAGTCCTTCAATTGTGTCCCTACTTCTCACAACTTGAACATTTAAGATTTGTATTTTCTCTTGTCAGCTTCGTTAATGTTGCATCCTCATCTACCCCTCTCGTTTGTTTCTTAAATGTAGGTGGCTTCTCTTATGGTCTTATAGTCACTAAACAAATAGTTGTCTACAAGCTGCATTTCTTAATTTCATTATAATGATCTTTCATATTATGATATTGCTCCTTGTAATTGTCATCAATTGTTACCCTTGCCTTTTTCCTTGTCTTGAATATGCCTTTCACATAGACGCATTAACCATATAACAGTCCCTTAGTGCAACAATAATATCAAACAGTTTAATGTTTTTGTTTGCCTTCACAATGCCAACTATCTTTCTTGAAATCAACTTATAAGAAGCCATTTTTCCATTAATGGACAGCTCACATGTGTGTTTAGACCCAAATGTCTTTAAACAATATGTCAATTGATCACCAACTTTACTCACAAGAATTAACCATTTGTATTTCTTTTGTACACACTTAACTCGACACTTCACCTCATCATTCTTTATAAGCTTCACATCCATTAAAGTAAGGCATATTCTCTTAGTGCATCCTTAAACTAAGTGAAGCAAACTCTCCATGCCTAACTTGAATTGAAACTCTTTGTGCATATCAGAAGGGTTGTATTTTTCATACTTACCTTCAGGCACACTCTCATCTTGATAGGATTCAAGATGGGTAAAGAGAAATAAGGAAGATAAATTTTTATTAAAATATGAAATTATAATCTTTTTTTATAACAAAACAAGCAGCAGGTTAGCTGCTCATGCTAATACAGTCTAAATCCAAAAGCAAATTAATATCCTGAGTTATGCTACGTTTATAGAAACCTGGTCATTTTTGAGCTGTTTGCCGAGCTAATAAATCAACAACTCTATTGGCCGTGCGATACACATAAATGAAAGAGACTTTCCACTCTTGTTGAAGCATCGATATGATCTCTTCCAATGGCAACCTGTCTTGCTGAAGATTGAAATCTCCTCCATTAATAAGCTCCATCACTTCCTGTGCAGCTGAGGCAATAATTATCATATGTTTATCCAATTCCCAAACAAAATTAAGTCCTATTAGTATAGCCCAAGTCTCCATGTTGAAGCTATCCATAACGGCATGACTGTGTGTGAAGCCTTAAATAAAATTGCCTTGGTGATCTTAAATAACACCACCACAGCCTCCTTTCATAAGAGTAAGAATATATGACCCATCTACATTAACCATGAACCAATCTTAGGGGGTGGAAGCTATTGGTTTGCCTCACTTCTTGGTTTGATTCCAAACCAGTTCAACTTCCTGCTTTGAAGAGATAAATCCCTTAAGCTTTTGAGAACTGCAAATGTCTCAGTCATGATGCCTTCATTTAATATAGACTTGCCTTTGAAAATTCAAGCATTCCTCAGCTTCCATAAGAGCCAGCAGATAGTAGTGAACATGGCACTCTAATCCTCAATTGACTCATTCCCAGAATATCTTAAATTCCACCTTAACTAATCCTTTAGGCCTAGAGAGAAAATATATGACGTTTCCCAGGTTTCACCATACCTCTCCATAATTCATAAGTTAGTGGGCAATCTCAAAGAACATGCATCAAATTTTCATTCTGCAGTAAACAACATGAACATGTACTATCGTTTGTCATCTTCCTCTCGCACCTCACCACATTTGTGAGAAGCCTATCATGAGAGCACAATTATAGGAAGGTCTTGCATCGCTGAGGAACTGTAAGCTTCCATATTCTATTCCAAGAGAAACTGGTGTCCTGTTTGGATGGATAAATAGCATTATAAGCAGTTTTGATAGTAAACAAACCGTGTTCCCATTTCCATCGAATATCATTGTTGCCTGCCATCTTAATTCCTTCCTCAACCATATGCCAGATTCCCTTAATTCCCGACCAAACATTAGAACTAAAGTGTTCAGTATCAATAATAGGAAGAAGATTCGTAGCATACTTATATTTAGCTTTAACAACACGTACCCATAAATCATCAGGCTTTTTGATAAGATTCTATTCGAGTTTCATCATAAAGGCTTGGTTCTGACCTCTTGCATATCTAAGACCTAGTCTTCTATATTTCTTCAATTCACAAACTTTATCCCAAGCAAGAAGGTGGCTCTTCTTTCTTTCATCTATAGAACCCTATATGAATTCTCTATCACACCGATCTGAGGAATTACAAGTGCTAATCGAAAGCAATAAGGTTTGCATGGAATAACAAGGGATTGCCGAAGTGATAGATGACACAAGAGTTACCCTTCTAGCCATCAACAAAGCAGAGGCCTTCCAACTAAAGAGTCACTTCTTAACCTTATCAACCACTTCACCAAAAGTCTCCTTAGTAACCCGTTTATGATGGAGATTTACACTAAGATATTTACCCAAGTCATCTGTTCTAGAGAAACCCAAGAATGAACTCAATTCTTCACGTTTGCAATTATGAATATTATTAGAGAAAAACATTTTGATTTTGCTAGCATTCACCTTCATTTCCGAGCTTGCACAAAAGCACTTAAGTAATCCTTTATAACCATAGCTTGAGCCATAGAAGCCTCTGCAAAAAGTAAACTATCATCTACAAAAAAAAGTGGGAAAATAGAAGGGTCAGTTTTACCTAACTTAATAGGCTTCCATTCTTGCTTTGCCATTCCTTGCTGAATAAGATGAGCAAGTCTCTCAATACAGATAACAAACAAGTAAGGAGAGATGGGATCTCCTTGACGAACCCCTCTGGTAGGAGTAAATGAATCAGTCCTTTTGCCATTCTAAAGAAGTTGCATAAAAGTAGGCACACCACATAATCAGTTCAACCATATGACTAGGGAACTGTAACTCCTTCAAACAAGATTGCAAGAACTTCCAATTAACTCAATCATACGCTTTTTTGAAGTCAATATTAATAGCCACAAAACTTTTTTTCCCTCTCGTATGCCTCATAGAATGAAGCAATTATTGAGCCACTATGATATTATCAAAACTATGTCTGTTAGGAACAAAACAACACCGATTCGGAGAGATAATACTCGATAGAAAACTTTCATATGAGAAGTAACCAGTTTAGTAATTATTTTATACACCACATTACACAAACTAATTAGGTAGAGATCTCGAATAGTTTTAGGAGGGTCTCTCTTTGGGATCAAAGTAAGTAACGTCTTAGTAAGATTAGCAACAACTGGGAGGTTCAAGAAAATGTACTTAATAAGTCTACAAACAGGAGGTCCCACCCACCACATTCCAGTTCCACTCATTCTGATAAAAAAAAATAGCTCCACAACCATCAAGCTTCGGAGCCTTCATACCCCCCATTTCCTTAATAGCCTCCCAAATCTCTAAATCCGTAATATTTCGACCAAAAGTAGTAATGACATTCTCATCAATATTCAGATATGAGATATTACACTCAAAAGGTGGAGAATTTTTCGTATCATTTATAAATAAAGAGGAAAAATAATCAATAGCCATACCTTGAAGTGTGCGTCATCATAAATCCAAGAGCCTTCATTATTGCATAAAGCTCCAATTTTATTTGCTCGACATCTATTATTGGCTATAAAGTGAAAGTAGCATGAGTTTTTATCACCAAGGAGAGCACAATTACTTTTAGCTTGCTAAGCTTAAAGAATGCTATCTTGTATCATTACTGTTTCCTGTTACAACCTAAGTTGCTTCTGGAGCTCCTCAAGATAATTCTTGTTTCCACCATTACCTAAAGCACAAGTAATTCCATCAAGCCGAAAGATAAGTTCTTTTTTTTTCTTTTACTTGCATGCCCAAAGACTTCTTTATTCCACTTTTAACAATCTATTGTAAAGGAACTAATTTGATTTGACCACTGCTCATCTTCCCTCCAAGACCTCTTCACAAACTCATTAAACTTATCATGAAGCACCCAAAAGGCGATAAATCGAAAAGGTCTATCTGACACACCCTGATCATGCAACTGCGTCTGAAAACGGACTAATAAAGGATGATGACCAAAGAAAACCAGTGGAGATGGGTTACAGAAGCATTCAAGAATTTCTCCAACCAATCTGAGTTGGCCACAACATGGTCAACGCGGCACTCTAAGTCACCTCGACTCCAAGTAAAAGTCAGGCTAATAAAACCAACGTCATTCAAAGAGCATTGTTGCATGAAACATGACATAGCAGAAATCTCTATCCACCCCTATAAGATAGACAGCACTAGATCTATGCTCGTGTTGCATGAGTGTAGCCTTAAAGTCATCCGCGATGCTCCAAGGACCTGTAACTCTATCACAAATTCTTCCAAGTGATTGCGACAGACTGCGCCTATTATTAATATTAGGACTAGTGTACACAAATATCATAAACCAAGTTTCCTTCTTCACGTTCTCAAAGTGTATATGAATGAACTGAAGATTTTTCTCCAACACCATAACCTTTAAAGCTTCTCATTTCCACTTGATGGACCCATGAAGTCACAAGGCCTAGTATCCAAAATAGCAAAAGAATTCAGACTATTAAAAGAATTGTGCCCATGATTTGAAGTACTTGTAAAATCTCTTCTCGCCACGCGTTGCCCAACAGCTGGAGCAATGTTCTCCTTCCTCTCCCTCTAACCCTCATAATTGCCTTTCTTTTTTCCCCAACCAGGACCCACACTAATTTGAAAGCATTAGTCTTAACTTCAATACCAAAATCATGGGATTCCTCAATTGACTTTCCTTTTTTATTTATTTCCCATTATCCCCATGTTGCCTTGAATAATCACCACGTGATCCCAATTTTTACTCTCCAAACACCTTATCATTCTCCTTAATTTTTGCATCTTGATAAAGAGATCCCTTAGAATTTGATTTATCATTTCTGTTGCGAAAATCCCGCTTAACCAATAACTCATGTCCATATCTAGTCATTAGAGACTCACACTCAACCTTGCCAGAAACCACCACTCTCTCCGCCATTGGTTCAACATGTTTCCACCCAGAATTCATCTGATCATTTTGTACCACATCCTTGACCTCACTTGTGTTCAGGTATTGGGCAAGAATTATATGGCAAACCTCTTGATGGTGTCCATATTTTCCACAATGGAAGCAAACCAAATGCAACCCTTCATATTGAATCTTATATTCCTCCCCACACCAAGTAAATAATGGAAGGAGAGGTTGACTTAGATCAAGTTCTACACAGACTCGACCAAAACCTCCTTTATCAGAAATTGAAGTTGATAAGTCCAATTTCAAGGTATCACCCACCTTATTACCAATCCTCTGAAGGTGTTCAATATTGTAGATTTCTATAGGGATATCCAGTATTCTGATCCATTCAGCAATTCTATGCTGTCTCTCAGCTTTCCAAGGGTTGAAGTTTGGACGCCATTTTTGAACTAACAAATAATGGTCATCAATCATCTAAGGTCCCTCCTGATAAGCATATTCCAAAACTTCTTGGGTAGAGAATGAAATGATAAAATAACCATTACTCAAAGGTGTGATCCGCATAGGCTCTTGATTCTTCCACATCCAAGTCAAGTGAGGACGTAAAAATCGTAACGAAATATTTTTTCCCAGAAGCTTAATGATCAAAGCATTTACCCAAGGCCTGCACCATGCCTCATATTCTTCCTTTGAAACCTTAAGCTCTGGTATCCGTCTTTTGCCCGATTCCATTACCTCCTCTTCCATATCGAAATTCTTCGCCGCTGCCACATGCTCCTGCTCTTTCAGTTTAGCTAGATAACCCTTCCATCCATTTATAATATCATAGTTTGGTTCATTCTTCGACAAGAAGCCAACAAAATTTAAACTCAATAGTGAGTCTCTATATGAAATAACTTTCCTTGGATTTTGTGACCCTTTCTAATTTTGATCCTTATCTACCAGCGTAGGACTCGAGAAGATCATCTCACTACTTTCCGTCTCTCCCTATCATTCTGACCTCCTAATCCACCCCTTGGCCCACCACTGCTGCCCTCACTATTACCAGACATTCTCTCACAATTCGAAGATCCTACTCGAATATCTCTCTACCTCAATTCTGACCCTTTCTTTTTTATATAAAATTATAATCTAACTTTATATATTAATAAAAAAATATAAAGCTGATAAAAAAATAAGAAGAATAATTTTATTCAGATAATAAAAAATAAAAATTTTACTCTATACTTCTTTAATAGTCATACTTAAAAAAATCTTCAAAAAGTTTAAAAATCTATTTTATTTATGGCATGCTAGCTTTTAAATTATTAATCATATTTATAATACTAAATACAATTCAAAATAATTGAATATCTGAATAAAATTTAAATAATTATATATTTGGATAAATATCCAAATAAAATCTAAATAATATTATTAAATAAAAAATATTTAAAATAAATTAAAAATAATACTTATTCCTAACATTTCTCTGACTTCCTAAATCACCCATTATCTCTCATTAATCGGTACTCTGTCACATTATCATCATCACAAGATGCTTCATCGTCATGAAGCTCAGATTTGTAATCAGGTAATAAAGCTAATATCTTCTCCTCTATAACCTCACGTAAGTTCCTATCCTCAACTAATTGATCAGGTGCAGCTATCATTTATCGCCTACTACTTCATCTAACATATCACGAACACCAACACCAACATACTGGTTAAAATAACGATCATCAATATGTTCAAAATCACTAATATCAATGTCTGGCAAATTCTCCTTTCCACTGCCCTTCCCTTCGCTACTGTCATTATATTCATTCTCCTAGTCCATATTATACCTTGCAGCAAATTAGAAAACTTCAATAATCATTCTTAGTAGAAAAAGAGAGCAAAAGACAGAGCCATATAAAATGCAGAGCGACGAACATACCGTAAGTGTGGAGGATAATAGACCAAGTGTATACAGACGATGATCAGAGGCAATGATGAACCAATAAACATATTCCAAAATCGATAATCACAAGACAAGTGCGGAGGAGTGAAATGCCGATTCTTGCCTCGTTGGACTCAAGGGATACAACACACAGAGAACAGAGACGACAAATGAACGATCCTCACCTCTGTTGCACGTGTCAAATGTTGAAGTCTTGGCTCATCCAAAACATTGTCCGGTGTTCATTCACCACCGTTGACTATTGCGGAGGCATCATCCGACGGTCTTTTCCGGCATCCTGGGGTTGTGGGGTCACTGGGTCCCGATTTCTCTTTTCCACGTCGTTTGGTGCCAAGGTTGTGCCTGGAAAATACTTGTTAATATGTTGCTGATCGTTTCATACTGAGAGGGTATTTTTTAATTCCATGTCAGAGTTTTTTAATCTAATCTAACCTTTGCTGATTGAAAAGTACATCTCAGGACCAAGTTAACCCCTTAGCACAAGGTTAACAGTATTAGTGGACTTATTAGTATTTTTAATAGCGTTTGTATCACATCAATGTGCCTATGAATATATAGGAGTATTGCAGATGGGGAAAACTACATGAATTTGGGACACAAAAAGTAAAAAAGTATAAAGACCTATACTAAAATTAGTGCAAA